GGAGGGGGAGGGACGAAGGATGAGGAAAAAAACGCCAGAAGAAAAGGAGCGAAGAGACGGGCGGTTGACTAAAGGCAAAGGGAGAAAGAGAGAGAGAGAGAGACAAAAAAAAAGAGAGAGAGAAAGAGAGAGAGACAGACAGACAGAGAGAGAGAGAAAGAGAGAGAGAGGGGAGAAAGAGGGAGAGAGAGAGAGAGAGAAAAACAAAAAAGGGAAGGAGGAGGCTGGACAGGGGAGGGAGAAGGGAAGAAGGAGAGGAGGGAGAGGGGATAGGGCAGGGAGGAATAAGGATGAGGGAAGAGAGAAGGAGAGAGAGAAGGGAGGAGAGGAAGGAGAGGGAGGAGGGAGAGGGACGAAGAGCAGGAAGGTAAGAGCGTGAACGTTCGATGAAGTCATAAGCGAAAGCGCCGTTCCTGAACGAAGTCTCGGGCGGGAACCCACGACGGGCGGGCGTTCCCCTGACGGGCGGGTCGGGCGGGTGGGACATTCAAGCGGGATGCCTGAATATGGCGAGAGCGCGATTACCCAGTAAATTGTAACGGCGTCCTTGGCGCAGCGTGTTTCCTGAGCGTCGAAAGCGCGATTTCTGAATAAAGCGCATGGAAGTCACAAGCGCGAGCGCAACTCCTGAATAAAATGTGAAAGGTTCCCTGTCGGGAGCGGGGGTCTTGATTAAATTGCGAGGAAGTCTGGATTCAATTGCAAAGAAGTCTCAAGAGGGAGCGCCGCTCCTAAGTAAAATGCGAGGAAGTCTCAGATGGGAACGGGGGTCCTGACTAAATTGCGAGGAAGTCACAGGCGGGAGCACCGATCCTGAGTAAATTGTGAGGAAGTCTCAGGAGCGGGGGTTCTGACTAAATTCGGAGGAAGTCTCAGGCGGAAGCCGTTGCTATTGTAATCCAAGGGGCCAGGGGCCAAGTTTGATCACCAAGACTTTCCCTGTCAAAAAACAGGGTGCGAGCGTCGAGGGGCACACTCCGATTGTGAAAAAGCAGTATGCACCGGCGAGGGAGGATCAACAACAATCATCTTCAAAAGTAAGAATTCAGTAACAACAATAGCACACAAACTCAACGACCACTCGGGAGATCCACCGGAGTACAGCTGTGGCGTTCTGGGCATTCCCACCATGCCGAAATCGAACTTACGAGAGATCTTCGGCTAATAACCAATAGTTTGCCAATCATATCCACATCACTGCAAGATAAATGTGCACCAGCCTCACCCCCCCGGCTGAGCCGCTGGCGAAGGTTGACACAATTGTTTGCGTACTTCCCCTTAGGACTAAGCATGCCCACTCAGAGTGCACCTCTGGTCCTCTCCGTCTCCAGCGTTTCGGCGTGGGGTTGACTACCCTCATCAGGACCTGCCACAAGCAACCACACGGGGCAGGCCGACGCTGTCACGAACGAGGCCTCTGTTCCGGAACAACTGTCTCCGCTCCTCTCCAGTTGCTCCCCCTCGTGCCGTCCCCTTTCTGGTCGCTCTCCCTCCGGGGTCCTCCCCCACCGAGTAATCTGGCGGCCGCAAGCGGCCCATGTTTATGACCTCCTCGGCCCTGAACCCTGAGGGGGAGGAAGAGGGCAGGGAGGGGGGAGGGAGGAGGAGGTTGGATCAGCGGCGTGTCCCTTTGGTGCGGGTCGAACTGGAACTAACCGTCGAGGCGAAATGGACACTCAAATAGTCGTCGGGATGCTTGATCCTCGGCGGCCCCTATCCAGTGCCTTTGGTCAGCTGTATCGCCCTATAACGCGCGACAGACAGCACAAACTACGGCAAGCATGCGAGAAGCCGATTTCAAATTACTGCTGCACCTCGGGTCAGCGGTGCTTCCCTCTGGCGCGAGTCGAACGTAAGTCACTATCGAACTCACCCGACGCAGGGATCCCCTTATGTTATCTATGTTCTAACACGGAACCTGGGCTTGACCGCGTCTGTTCACGCGAGGCTAGATATGAGTGAGTCTAGACAGGACTGCGTTTAAGTATAAGTGACTGGGTGCAGTAGACTCTGAGTAATAGCAGGTCGCAGTGTGAGTGGGATCATGATGAATGGCGTTAGTGAGACTGAATGTGAGTGAGACTAAAACGGCTGACACAGTATTTTTCAAGTTTATTAGACCTGAGTGTGAACGGTTATGTTTATGCATGGGTCTATCAGGGTGGAATCGCGTATGAGCGCCTGACTATGAATAGGCCTGGCTGAGAATGAACCTGGCAGTGCGTGGCCGAACGCGGCCCAGTCTGGGTATGAGCGGACTGGAGGGAGAATGGATCGCGATATGAGTAGGTACGGAAACGAGTGAAACGGTCATGTAATATGTGCAATTTGGGAGGTCCCCACAATCAAACGTAAGCGGGCTCGTGTCGTACCCACTGGCAGTTAGTCCTTGGGAGGCCCAAATGCCGTGCCTGCTACATCGCGGGGATCAGGGGGCTGTGACAAGAGACACGTCTACTTCAAAATCGAGCGGTTAGCTCAAGATGCTCCCACCATCTGGGCGCGAAAGAGATCGTGGCAGCTCCTTCTTAAGAGGCCCAGATGCCACGCCTGCTACATCGCGGTGATCATGGAGCTCTGACTGACTCACGAGTGTTTTCGCGTGTGGGCAGAGATGGGCACGAGGCTGAGTGTGAATGAGACTGGGTATGGATGAGCTTCCGTACGAATATCTCTAGGTCATATTGATTCTGACTGTGAGAGGGTCGGAATAACAGCGAGTCAGGGTACGGATGAATCTTGATGCGAGTGTGAGTCTGTGGGAGAGCGTGAGTAGAAATGATCCAAGTGTGAGTGAGTCAGATTGTAAGTGAGTCTGAGAGCGAGTCTAAGTGCGAGCGCATCAGAGTAGGAGGATGAGAATGTGAATGAGTCTGGGTGAGTGCGCCTGAGTCTGAGTAGGAACGAGCTCTGGCCATGGGACAGATCAGGCGGAAGTGAGGCGGGGGCGTCTCACTGTCTCCCTAAGAACAAGAACCCCAAAACTTGAGGACATGGGGAACGACATCCGCCGACCTTATCGACGTGTGTGAGGGGATAAAGGGGGAAGCTATTTCATTTGTCCCTGTGGCCACCATGGGTCCTCCTCCTCCACCTCCTCCTCCTCCTCAGGCAAGCCAGCGTAAGAGAATTCGACAAATGCATACCGCAATCGAGTTGAAGGGAGGTCCCTTCCCTTGGACCCCGCCCACGCAGGGGAGAGGGAGATCCAGGGGTCCTGGGAGGGACTGGGGTAGCCCAGTGGTGGAGCACCCCCCTTGAGCTTCCCTTTTCGGAGTCCAAACCTCTGGAATACGACAGGAGTGTCCTGGGGTCTCGTGCTTGGGCCGTCTTGAGAGTATCTTGGGCCCTGCTCGAGGATTTGGTGGCCTGCTCAGAAGGCAACAGTACCTCAAAAATCCCATGGGTCTGTTGCTTCTGAGACGATGCTATCATTCTCGCAGTGTTGATCTTGAGAGCGTCCAAGACGACCCGAAAAGCCGCCAACATCGCCCCAAGACAGCCCACGAGACTCCCAAGAAGCCCAAGAGGCCTCCAAAACAGCCTCGAAAAGGCCCTCCAGGATGGACCCCAAACCCCCGAAAGGCCTCCAAAAAGAGACCACCCCGAAAGGCGGCCAGGAGGCCTCCCAGAGGCCTCCGGGAAACCCATGAGGCTCCCTGGAGGCCCCACAGAGACTCCCCTAGAGACTTCCCCTGAGACTCCAAAAGGCATCCCAGAGGCTTCCAATGAGACTCCCTCAATGACTTCACACGGCACATGGCCTCCCCCCCACTCAGTTAACCCGTGTCGCCCGCTCTGTTTCGCTTTATGTGCCTCTCCCTCCCTGTTCCCGCCAGCTCTCATGGACATCGTTTCTCGATGAGCTGGTGAGAATCTGCAAAGCATCAAGAATTATTGCAGCACCTCGGGTAAGCGGCATTTCCCTCTGGTGCGAACCGAGACTGACCCTGGGAAACCTGGCTCGCGTGATCTGAACATTAGACCTGCCACTGGCGATTGTAACGGCTGGGCGTGAGGATGCTTGATCCCCAGCGGCCCCTGCCCAGTGCCTCCCGTCAGCTGCATCGTCCTCTCACAGGCAAGCGAGCACACAACCAACAGCAAGCATGCGGCAAAGCAGCTTTCAGATTACCGTGGCACCTCGGGTCAGCGACATATCCCTCTGGCGCGAGTCGAACCTGACCCACTATCGAAACCAAACAGCCCCTGGCAGAACTCGCTCGCGTGATCTGAACATTCAACCTTCCACTGCCAATTGCAAAGACTGAGCGTGGGGATGCTTGATCCTGGGCGGCCCCTGCCCAGTGCCTCCGGTCAGCTGCATCGTCCCCTTACAGGCAAGCGAAAACACAACTTACAACAAGAATGCGGCAAAGCAGCTTTCAAATTACTGCAGCGTCTCCCCTGGTCATATAATGCGATTCGGACACGACCCCCTGTCGAACGATCATGCCCTTGAAGACGTCGCTCCCGCGATCTGAACATTCGACCTGCCACTGGCGATTGTAACGGCTGGGCCTGGGGATGCTTGATCCTCGGCGGCCCCTGCCCAGTGCCTCCGGTCAACTGCATCATCCTCTCACGGGATTGCGAATACACAATCTACTGCAAGCATGCGGCAAAGCAGCTTTAAAGTTACTGTAGCACATTGGGTCAGCGGCATCTACCTCTCGTGCGAGTCAAACACGGCCCACTATCGAAACCGAAATGCCCCTAGCAGAACTCGCTCGCGTGATCTGAACATTCGACCTTCCACTGGCAATTGTAACCGCTGGGCGTGGGGATGCTTGATCCTCGGCGGCCCCTGCCCAGTGCCTCCGGTCTGTCAGCTGCTTCGTCCTCTCACGGGCGAGCGAATGAACGACCAAATTACCGAGCAAGCATGCGGCAAAGCAGCTTTCAAACTGCTGTAGCGCCTTGTGTCAGCGGCATTACCCTCTGGTGCGAGTCGACCATCACCCAATATCTAAACCGAATGCCCCAGGAAGCTCTGGCTCGCATGATCTCTGAACATTCGACCTTCCACTGGCAATTGTAACGGCTGGGCCTGGGGATGCTTGATCCTCGGCGGCCCCTGCCCAGTGCCTCCGGTCAGCTGCATCGTCCTGTCACGGGCGAGCGAAAACACAACCTACAGCAAGCATTCGGCAAAGCAGCTTTCGAATTACTCTAGAATCTCCACGGGTCATCTGGTGCGAGTCGAACATGCCCCCCTATATGCCACTGGCAGAACTCGCTCGCGTGATCTGAACATTCGACCTTCCACTGGCAATTGTAACGGCTGGGCCTGGGGATGCTTGATCCTCGGCGGCCCCTGCCCAGTGCCTCTGGTCAGCTACATCGTCCTCTCACGGGCAAGCGAACATACAACCTACAGCAAGCATGGGGCAAAGCAGCATCTAGATTACAGTAGCACCTCGGGTCGATGACACTTCCCTCTTGCGCGAGCCGAACATGACCCCCACTCACGAAACAAAATACAAAATGCCCCTGCAAGAATTCGCTCGCTTTGCTGGCCGCTTGATCTCTGGATTCCTTCGACATGTCTGGCTTTTCATCCTGAGTCGATTGTCTAGACTCAGGGCCGGGAAACAGCCTTCACGTGCCGACCACTCAAAACCAATTAACAACTAATCCTAGAGGTACAAAGAAACTGCATACACTGAATTCCTCAAAACTCCGCGCGGAGTTCTTGGATCGGCGCTAGACCCCTTCCGCGCTAGCGGCGGCGCCAAAGGCGCCGCCAGGTGGGCCCGACGCAGATCCGAGAAATCCGTACGGACACCCGGAAAATGATGCTTATGTTGTGTGTTGTTCTCGACTCCAAAAAAAACAGACACACACATACACACACATATAGTCAGCTCCATTTTGTTGAGTCGCCCGAGGCCTAGATTGCTCGCATGACCTCTGCCTGGGACCAGAACCCAGCGCCAGTGATCCTGGCGAGGCCTCTGCGAAGCGCCTCCAGTCACAGCAGGAACAAGAACAGGCTCATTGCAGCGTCGCCAAGAGACATGAGTGGTGTTACGATCATAGTCCGCTGTACGTTGCATGTTTCACACTGGGCGGTTTCGAGCCCTGGGGCCATCGAAGATCGATCCAGCTTTAAAACACTCACAGAAAATATGTCTAGGGCTCCAGTCACGATTTTCGACAATTCTCCTTTTTGGCAGGGATGCCAGAAAATCGAGGGTGCAAGACCCCGATCCACATTGAACCCTGGCGGCGTCGTCATGCCGCAGGATGGGATCCGTGCTGATCGGCCGAAGAGGCAGACCCCCGACCTCGTGATTGCTTCACATCGTCGGCTCCAAAAAGTCTGGACCTCTTCCCCAGGACCGGTTTTCGTCCCCGGTTGTTTTTCGACAGTCCCGAGGCCCGGTGAGGGCCTCCGGAGGACTAAAATGGCAGAAACCCCCGCGTCGTCATATCTTCACAACGCGAGGGCGTCTGGGAACGAGGCAGGCGCAGACTTGTGAGTAGCGCGTCCTTGCTATGGACTTTACTCTGACTGCACTGGTCGTTGGAGCCAGTTCCCGAGCACCCCTACTGGCCGCAGGCCCTCCCACGTGGTCTGTGCCGAGGGGTCGAACAACAGGTTGTCCTGCACCCGCAGCGTCAGAATCCTCTCGCGTGCAGGATTGGCTCCTCCCTGCCTCCTTCCCAGACCTCCTCGCGTTGGGAAAACATCACGACGGAATGTTTTTGTTCCTATTTTCGGCGTCCGAGGGGCCCTCACCGGGCCTCAGGACCGTCCAAAAACAGGTCCCGGGGAAGGGTCGACGTGTGTGAAAAAATCACGAGGTCGGGGGCCTGGGTTCCCTCCCTCCCTGTCCTCCCCTCTCCTCCCCTCCCCGCCACTCCTCACTGCACCGACCTGGCAGACGTGCTGCAGCGGATTTTTGCATGGATTTCTGTCAATGCAAAACCCCGAATGGGCGAATGAAAAACGGAATGAACTTCGCGTGATTCTTTTCTAGTCTTCATTCCTGGCCAAAAAAAGATCCGCACGAAGTTCACTTCGAAATCCGGAACGAAATTCTCCAGGACAATCCGGGTCCATCCCATCGTTTCCCGAGCGAAAATCGCTCTGCGATTTGGCGCCACGACACTCCATCACCCTCGTCCCTGGATGTAGTCACGATTGTGTTTATGGCTGTGGTTCGTGATCGTAATGTGCGGAATGCTCCACATAAGAGTGCTTGCACTCGAGCATTCGTGCCTGCGCTGACGAGGACCTGGTCGTGCCTCTTGGGGTCAGCCGTGGGTTATGGGCCTCCTGTAGCATCCGATGACTTAGCCTCCAACGATGTTCCTATGGTTTCCTGCCCCGCTCGCCCTGTCTCCAGGGTCTGCCGCGGGTGCTTGACTCTTGTGGTCTCATATGGCCTCATGCTGTTTTGTTGATTGGCCTCTCATGGCTGCTTGGCCTTCTCTGGATCGAGCTCCGATAGATCGATGCGAGTGTGAGCATGTACACACATGTTGCGCTATCTCTTTCTCTCTCTCTCTCTCTCTCTCTCTCTCTCTCTCTTTCTCTCTCCCTCTCTCTCTCTCTCTCTGTTTCTCGTTCTATATATATATATACACATATATACATATATGCATATACAAATACATATACATATACATACATATATACACATATCTAGGACTCGCATGTGGCTGGGCCGTTGCTGTGGCAACCGATGCGGTTGTGGCCGTGATTTTGGTGATGCTGAGGAGGAGGCGAAAGAGGAGGAGGAGGAGGAGGCGAAGGAAGAAGCAAAAGGGAGGGAGGAGGAGGATGAATCGAGGAGGAAGAGGACGAGGAGGGAGGACGACGGGGGAAAAGGAATCGAGGAGGAATCGAGGAGGAAGAGGTGTAGGAATCAAGGAGGTGGAGGACGAGGAGGAGCGAGGGTCCTGCCGCGGTGCTCGAAGGGCATGGTCCCTGGCGGCCCGCGCCAGTCCCTAATCAGCGCCTCGCGCAGGAGGCCCGGCAGCATCCGCATGGCCTCTCCGGAAGGGGCGAGCGTCGCAGCGGGATAAATGTGTCCAGGCATGGGACAAAAGCGGATCGGGATAGCTCGGGGATCTCTGAGGCCCCGCGGATCTGGGGATGTATCGGCGCCGCGGCCGTTCCAGGGCGTCCTGGACCCCTGTAAGAGCGTTCTGGAATGCCCTCGGGCGGTTTATCCCGACCCTCTACCCGATGTCGAGCGGGATGGTGAGCGGGGAAGAGGGGAGGTGGATTCGGCTACGTGCGAGGTGCGAGAGACAAGCTGGAGGTCCTCAGAGGTCCCCAGGGTTCTCCGGGAGCTCCCCATGGGGGAGGGGATGGCGAGCGGGGAGTATCGGGTGTTGCTAGAAAAGTCTCTCTGGCCCAAATTGTCCCCAACTCTTCGCGCCAGTGGAGCCCCTGGGGCCCTCCGGCCCTCCGAGCCTCGCGAGGGGTGCTCTGGAGGCCATCTGGGCATCCACGGGAATCCTGGAGACACGTTGGGCTGTGGATACATTTGGCATCACCCAAAAGGAGGGGAGATACGTCCGTCGACCTGAGCCGAGCTCGACTCCAACTTGAGTCGAACTTGAGTCAAACTAGAATCGATCGGATAGGTGAGCCCCAGGAGGGTCACCAAAACGAGCATCAGAGTCCGAAGAGGGGGGGCCCGAACTGAGATTTCTAACCCTTCCGCAAAAAAATGCGTCCGAGGCTGCCAGAAAGCCCCCGAGAGGCCCCCAGGCACCCCCCCCAAGAGGCCCCAAGAGGCTCCCAAGATGCCCCCAAAAGGCCCCACGAGGCTCCAAAAATGCGCCCGCGAGCACGCACGCAGTGCCAACGATGCTACAATGAGCTCCCAAGAGGCTCCCAAGACGGCCCAAGATGGCCTCACAGGGAACCCAAGAAGAACCCAAAATGGGAGACACGAACAGCCATTTCGAGCATACTGCCCCGAAGCGCCCATGACTAGGCACCCGCGCAACATTTCAAGGAAACTACCATCACCCATCAGCGCCGCAAAGGCAAGAAAACGCGAGCGAACGCCCGCGATGGAATAATCTGGGCCAGAGGAATGAGCGAAGCGATACCCCCTTCCTCGCCCAGGGACAGGGGATCCCAGAGGCCTCTGAATTTTCAAAGAGGGCCAGCGACCCTACCTAGGAGTCGGAGCCTCTAGGAGAGCAACATTACTAGGAGCGGTAAACGCCGTCTTCCTCCTTCTCCTCATCGTCGTAGTTGTAGCAGTAGCGGTACTAGTAGTAGTAGTAGTAGTAGTAGTAGTAGTAGTAGTAGTAGTAGTAGTAGTAGTAGTAGTAGTAGTAGTAGTAGTAGTAGTAGTAGTAGTAGTAAGTAGTAGTAGTAGTAGTAGTAGTAGTAGTAGTAGTAGTAGTAGTAGTAGTAGTAGTAGTAGTAGTAGTAGTAGTAGTAGTAGTAGTAGTAGTAGTCGTAGTCGTAGTCGTAGTCGTAGTAGTAGTAGTAGTAGTAGTAGTAGTAGTAGTAGTAGTAGTAGTAGTAGTAGTAGTAGTAGTAGTAGTAGTAGTAGTAGTAGTAGTAGTAGTAGTAGTAGTCCCCCCAAGGCTCTGGGGAGCCTGTGGGCGGGGGGGCTACTGCTGCCCTCAAACCGCGGGTGACAGTCACCCTTCCTTTTCTCGCGCCCTCACTGTTACGAACACTCTTCCTTGCCCTGAAGGGACGTCCTGGGATGGCGGCGGCCGCTGGCGGCGCTGCGGACGCAGGTGCAGGGGCTCGAGTGGCTGGGAATAACGCCGCTGCGGCTCGAGGCGAAGGCGGAGTACTGGCAGCTGCGGGAGGCAGTGGAGGTGCTGGGGCCGCCCCGTGCGCCTCCGCTGCCGCTCCCGCGTCGGCAGGCGCGCACGCAGCCGACATCCCAGTGGATGGCAACACCGACGTCCACATGCGTGACAGCGAGGGCCAGCCAGCACAGAGGCGGCGCCGCATGACGGGCGGACGCATCACCCGTTGGTGCGTCAGCGCCCAGGCGGCCCGTGGCAAGAAGGCTCACTGCACGCGCTGCATGGGGGGTTTCGAGGCGGGCGAGCGGCGCGTGGCGGGCGTCGTGACACCACCCGCGGGGTCCCAAGCGCACGCGGGCAGAAAGGGTTCCACATGGCCTGCGTCGATGGCCCACTACCACCAGCCACGGCGATGGTGGGCTTTACTCAGCTCCCTGAGGGCGACAGGGATCGCCTCACGGCAGCCCTGGAGGCCCGAGGGGGCCCCATCCTGCCCCTGCTGGAGACAGTCGAAGGCCAGGCCCCCACCCCTCCCACCCAGGGAGATGGCGCGGCAGGGGGCACTGGGGCAGCCCCGAGGCCCCCTGCCGCCGCCGCGCCAGGAGCGTGCGGCTCAGGCGCGCGGGGGGCCCCCCTGGGGGCGGCCGAGGCAGCGGCGCCGACCACGGCGGACATCCTACAACCGCCACTCGACGTTCCTGCGGAAGCAGGCGAAGATGGCGGACTCGAGACAGGCGTCTGCAACGACTACCTGGACGACCAGGTGACGAGCGAGGACGCGTACCACGAGGTGGGCTTCGTCAACCTGGACTGGTGGGATGCCATCGGGTGGGACCGCATCCTGCTCCAAGGGGCGCCCACCACAGTCATGATCCCCGACAGCATGGCGGCAGCCGTCAGCCACGTGAAGGCGCGGCTGCGCTTGGCAATTGGGCAAGCCCGCCAGGGCAACGACGCTCAGTCGTCGAGCACGTTGACGAGGCTGTGGAAGGTGTTCCTCTCGCTGGACGGACTGCTGCTCAGCAAAAATGCGACCCCGACCCCGACGACGCGGCGTGAGCGCCTCCAGGAGCGCCTGCGGTGGATCCAGGACGGCCAGTGGGATGTCGCCTGGCTTTCCATGGAGGACCAGACGCGCACCACGGTCACCACGAAGGGCCGCGAGGATCACGTCGCAGCCCGTGTACGCCGCGTCACCGAGCTCGCACGAGCGGGAGAAATGTCCCGGGCGGCGGCGGCAGCGTGGCCCCAGGGGGACACGGCGGACGCAGCGGCGGCGGCGAGGAAGTTCAGCACCACCCAGCAGCCCGAGGCGCCTCGCCCAGGCGAGCGGCGCCCTCCCCCTGGCACTGGGGCCGCCCCGCGCGGGCCAGGGAGAGGGGCCGCAGGGGCGGGGGCCGACGCGGCGATGCCGCCAGCCGCAGCTCCCCACGAACTCGACGGCGCAGCAGAACTCCACCGCCGCGTGGCCAGCCACCTCAAACGTCAGTTTGGCCGCTTCCCCCGCCGTGGAGGGGCGGGGCCTGGAGGAGGACGCCACGAGCACTGGGCCCCTCTCAAGCACGACGAGGATGGGGCAGAGGCGGTGGTCAACACGCTGGCTCGACTGGCCATCGGGGACCTCCCCTCCGAGGCGCTAGCCGCCATGGCGGCGGCGCGCCTCACAGGCATCACCAAGGCAACCCCCGGGGATGTGCGAGTCCTGGGCTAGGAAACGTCACCCGCCGCATGGCGGGCCGCAGTGCCGCCAAAGTCCACCACAAGGACATGCGGACGGCGGTGGGAGACCAGCAGTTCGGCCTCGCCAAGGACGGATGTGGTGCACTCCATCGACGCCTATGCACGATGGCCAACTCGAGCCCAGGCAAGTGGGTGGTGGCGGTGGACCTCGGGGATGCGTTCAGCAACATCCCCCGAGACCTGGTGAAGGAGGCCGTGCGCACCAAAGTGCCTGCGCTGGCCCCGTTGGCGGAAGCCTGGCTCCCCGCCCGAACACGTCACGTGGCGGGGGGCGGGTCGCAACCCGCCCAGCTGGTCGACCAGATCCGTGGCCTCGACCAGGGCTGCCCGATGAGCCCAGGTTTCTACGCGGTCGGTACCGCGGATATCCTCAGCATCGGCCGCATGGCCATGCGCGCGGTGGACATGGAAGGGGACTGCATGGCCTTCCTGGACGACGCGTACTTCGTGGGCACCGCGGCCGCCGTGTTCCGCGGCTTGGATGCGTGGCGCGCCCGCATCGAAGCCCACGGGATGAAGCTCAAGATGTCCAAGACCCAGATATGGCCCCCCGACGCCCAAGCTGTCTTGCCGCCCGAGTTTGCAGAGTACGCCCAGCACCGCGTCCAGAAGCTCAAGGCGGTGGGGCCCACCCTGGCCTACACGAACCACGACGTGGACACCGACTGGAGGGACGTCCCACTCACGGACTTCGCCGCCCCAGAGGACCTCGGCGAGGGGGGCCGCGGGCAGGCTGGCGGCGCCGGGGCCGCCCCGAGCGCCGCCATGCCACCTCCCTGCGGCGAAGCCTTCCTCCAGAAGCAGGACCGCTACTTCAAGGAGCTTCTGACGCTACGCAGGCACGGGCTCTCTGCCTTCGACGCATTCCAGTTGATGCGGATCTGGTCGAGGGGCGCCTGCGTCCACATCCAGCGGGCGCTCCCGCTCACGGCGGCGTGGAGCCGCAGGGTGAATGACGGAGTGGTCGCCTTCGTCAACGCCCTGCTCGGGGTCACGGCGGCCCCCAGAGAGCAGATCTTCATGAAGGTCAGCAACGGAGGTCTGGGCTGCGGCAGCGCTGAGCAGCGCGGCCCAGCCGCCCTCCTGGCATCCTGGGAAGCTGGGATTCACGCGGCTGCCCAGGAGCTCCGAGAATCGACAACGATCGGCCTCTTTCGGAGGTGGCCAGGCCTTGGCCGTGCCCTCTCAGCAGCAGACGAGGAGCAGGGGCGGCTGGCTGGCGGCCGTCGCCCTCAGAGTGACCGCTGGCAGGGCCTTCTGGAGGGGCGGAAGGGAAAGGACCAGAAGACGTACACCCAGCACGTGCGGGACCACGTCACCAAGACGTTCACGGCCGCGCTGCCAGTGACGGCAGCGGCGGCGGTGCACATTGCCTCGGGCAGCTCAGCGGGCGCCTGGTTGGATAATCCCACCAGCCCTTTGGGCGTGAGTGGTTTAGCGAGCTCTCTCTGTTCTCAACCCCTCAACCCCCCTTCTTCCCCTTCGGG